AGGAGGGGGAGGTGGCGAGAGGCAAGTGAGAAATCAAAAGAAGCAGAAAAAAAAAGCAACACTAGCAGCCAACAAATGGCACCCAGAGAGCCGCCCGCTTGGGTGTGTGGAATCCAAGAGGCCGGCGCTTCCCAGTCAAGAGACCGTGGCCGCGGGAAGCAGAGGAGGCCGAGCTGGGGCGAAGACGGGTCGGGGGGGGGGGAAGCGCACACCACTAATTACCGGTTGTTTTGTCTCCTGCTGGACATTCTGTGAGGCTGCTTTCTCGTACCCCCGTTTGCTGGTCTCCGATAGGAGTCCATGATGGTGGATCCACGCTATGTTAGCTGGTAGGGGACCTCTGCATGAATCTCTCCTCGCTGTCCGTTCTCTGTCAGTTTTCTCACTCCATTTGGTGCTTGGCTGAGTTCTTTATCTCTTCATTTGATGTTTTAGGGTTTCAGGATTGTTGTATTCTCTGTTCAGCTTAGTTTTTCAGATCTTTGCTGTGGAGGGACGGCGTGGTGCTTCTGCCTAGAGCGCCTTTTTGCCAGAACTAAGAGAAAAATAATTTTAAGCATCATCTACATAGAGGTAATGGTTGAAGATATGGGAAAAGAGCAGAAATTTGGGATTTGTTTAAGGAGCAGGAGGAAAAGAAGCCAATGGAGACAGAATAAGGAGTTAGAAAACCATTTAGTATCTCCTAAGCCCTAGAGAGAATTTCAAGTGAAGAATGGACACAGTTAACGGATATCATAGAGATGTCAAAGAGAACTTGGATTCAAATAAAACTGTTAGGTTTGGTTGAGGCAAAACTAGATTCCAAAGGATAAAGAATGACCGAGTGTTGAGGAAGTAGAAAGTATCAAGTTTGGATAGTCTTTCAAAAAAAATTATTAAAAGAAAGAGCAAGAGAATAGGATACCTCAAATAGGCCATAAAGTAAAAGGAGGGTTTTCAGTTTAGTGTGGATTTAAGTATATTTGTAGGCTGAAGAGAATGGATCAGAAGAGACATTTAAAATATAAATGACAGGAAGTAATTGAAACAGGAATTTCTAGAAGAGGGAATGTTAAGAACAGTTGAAGAGTTAATCTAGGCAAGAGAGAGGATGAAGATAAGCACAAATCCAGACATTCTAAGGTGGAGAAAGTTAGGAGAACTTGTGTCAGATTACCTTGATTTCAATAGAAATGGAGTTAAATTCATTCATTTGTTCATTTATTCTTTCAAAGTTAATGAGTACCTCTAATGTACTCTAGGCACTGTTCTAGGCACTGAGGATACAACAGTGAACAAAATAAGACAAAAATCCCTGCCTTATTAGCTTACATTCCAGTGGAGGGTGTGGGGACAGACAATAAACAAATAAGTAAAATATGAACTGATGATGATAAGTGCAATGGAGAAAAGTAGTTTTCAAAAAGAGGGTATAAGGAGTGTTAGAGACAATTGCAATTTAAAATAGGATGATCAGGAAAGAACTTACTGGGAATGTGATTTTTTTCCCCCTTATAGTAACAAGAGCAGGGTTCTTCCAATGTGACAGAAGGAAATTAGCCAAAGCACAATTTTGCCTGTGGGAATTAAGTCAAGCCCTCTTATACTCTTTCACACAGGTTATCAGAGACTGATATAGAGTAGCTGAATCCCTGCTGCTGATCACAGCAATCCTTTTGCTTTATGCTAATTTTTTATTTCCTTGCTTATAGATTAGAGTTTATCTGTTAAGCACAGATAGATGGGAACAAGTTTTATCAGATCTTTTATATACTTCCATAGCCTATTTCCCAAGACCTACTCTCTTTCTCCCTCAAAAAACCATAAAATCAGGATGTTGATGTGGTTTGGGACCCAGTTGTGCTGATGGCTTCTATAGAAGGACCAGTCACAGATGGCAGAGAAACATACACTGAGGAGGTAGGAGTGGAAAGAAATTCTACAAGATCAACGTCCATCCTCTCACCCCTAGCCAGAAACTGTAGAATTTGCATTGGACAGAAGAGTAACTAAAATTGAGCTAATGATGCTAGACAATAGATTTTATGATTCTAAAATGTTATTTGGGTTAGTATGTACAGATCATTTAGTCATGAAAATCATTTTCCTTAACAAGTACTTTACCAGTTTTAACAAGCAGCAATTATGATAAAAGACCAAAAGATTTTCCTCAGGGAAAAGAAAATCCCATGGTCCAGAGAACTTCTACAATTTCTTCTTCTACACTTGGGGTCTTCATGTCTCGTGAAGTTTCTCCACATTAGGCCCAGTAAGTAATAAACGGGAATTTGAATGTCAACCATTCAGATGTGAGGCCTTAGACCTCAGATTTGTTCTCATCTTCTTAGAGCCAGAAAACAGTGAGACACTTGGCCTGGTTGAATGAAAATATTTGCTTTCATTAACTACAATAGCTACCTCTTTATATACATTATAATATATAATCCTCACACTACCTATGAAATAGATATTTTTCCATTTTATAAATAATAAAACGGGCTCAGAGAATCTTAGTGGCAGAAGTAAAAATCTAACCTCTATCAGTGATTCTAAAGTTCCTTCTTTTAAGCACTATCTTCATCGTGCAGATAAAAGCTGATTTACTCTCCAAAAAGCAGAAGCACAAACACTAGAATGCCCATTTAGGCTGGACAGTTTACAATTAAGCCAAAGGTTCTCAAATGTTTTACATTGAGAACTCCTTTTACATTCTTAAAAATTATTGAGAACTCCAAAGAGCTTTTGTGTATGTGAGGTTATATCTATCAATATTTACCATTATAGAATTAAAACTGAGAAAACTTTAAATTTTATTTAGATAATAAATCCATTATATATTACCATGTTTTAAATAAAAAAAAAAAACAACTTCCAGAACAAAAATTTAATGTGAAGAGTGACATCGTTTTACATTTCCTCTTTAATGTCTAGCTTAATAGTACATAACTGGATTCTCACATCTGCTTTGTATTCGACCTTTATACGACACATTACGCAGCCTCTGCAAAAACCTACTGTACATTCATAAGAAAAACGCAAATAATGTCTTAGTATTGTTTTGAAAATACTTTTGACTTTGCAGACCCCTAAAAAGGTCTTGGGGGTTCCCAGACTATACTTTGGGAACTGCTGAACTAAGACAGGCTCATCTCTATTCTCATTCATGGCTTTCAGAAATTATCCAAAATCGAGAAGCGGGGAGCTTTGCATCTCTGGCTGGCCAATTCTGAAAATAATGGAACAGCTTTCAAATAAAGATTCCTAATTTCTGTTGGCACCAATATATCAAAAGCAATTTCATGAATCTACTTAAGAAACGTCTTCAGTAATGTTGCCTTTTTTGTGCATATTATAGTTGAGATTAAAAGGTTATTGTACTTCTTTCATTCTTAAAACATTTATTGTAAAAATTTTTTGTGGTATCACCCAGAGCTAATGACAGATATTAGTCTATTTCCATCCAATTTCCTATATTTATGTGTGTATTAGAATCATCCTTTGTTTTTTTTTGTCTTTCACACTAATAACGGTAACATATTTCATCTTCACTTTCACTAGCAGTAAGCACTTAACAATAACTCTATGAGGGTAACAAAAACAAACAAAAAAAAACCCCATTGCCATGGAGTCGATTCCAACTCACAGTGACCCTATAGGACAGAGAACTGCCCCACAGGCTTTCCAAGGAGCACCTGGTGGATTCAAAATACCAACCTTTTGGTTAGCAGCCAAGCTCTTAACCACTGTACCACCAAGGCTCCTCTATAAGGGTAGGCATTATTATACCCATTTTGTAGATGAGGAAACAGGTTAGGTAATTTGCGCTCTATCAGCTGTATTAGATATCTGTTGCTGTGTTAACTAATTACCCCAAAACTTGGTGGCAAAAAGCAACAGTTATGATTTGAGTTTCTGTGGGTAAAGAATCCAGGCACAGGTCAGCTGGGTCTTCTGGCTCATCTGGGGGTGGATCTGCTTCCAAGTTCACTCAAGTGGTTTTGGCAGAATTCAGTTCCTTGCGGGCTGTTAGACTGAGGGCCTCAGTGGCTTGCTGGCTGTTGCCTGGAGGCCACTCTCAGTTCTTTGTCTCATAGGCCTCTCTTCAAGGCACCTCACAGCATGGCAACTTGCTTCATCAGAGTCAACAAGCAACCAAGCAAGGCCAGAGTATAAAGGGACAGAGGTCTCAGACTTTTATAACTAAATCCTGGAAGTGATATCCCTTCATTTTTCCTGTAGGCAGGTAGTCCCTGACTTATAACATATTAGAGTTACAACAAACAGCACTTACAACTATGTCTGGTTTTTTTTTTTTGTACATCTTGTTAGTAGTATGTACTACATACAATGTTAAAATATATCTGTAAGTTTATATGTAATGTTTCCCACGCCCAAAGACAAATAAACATTGGATTTATAGACACTGATAAAAAGGCAGTAATAAAACCAAAAAAAATTGAGGTATTTGTCTTACATCAGAACTGACTTACAATGGAGTCGTCGGAATGGAACCCCATTGTAAGTTAGGGACTACCTGTATTCTACTCGTTAGAAGCCAGTCACTAGGTCCAGCCCACACTCAAGGGGAAGTGATTACACACAAGGCAACTAGCACTAAACATGTATCAGACTGCTTGGGATCCTAAAAAGACCTCAGAAACAATGTGAAAGGCCTTGGAGTACAAGTCTTCAATACTCACGATCTTAAATTAAGAGGAAAGGGAGTGGCTTATGGATGGTCTACATAGCCCAGATAGCTTCCTCCTACGGCCCTGTCCATGCCCTCCCTCTCCTTCCTAGGTGAGATCTGGCCTGGAAAGGCTGCATTGGGCATGCTTATCAGTTACAGCTGACAGGTGAGTGGAGGCCTAGATACAGTCCTAGGCACAGGGATTGACTCCACTGCTTTCTTGGGCTGTCCTTATTCTCTCCTAGAGATTTACTAGATTTCTTATGGGACAATATGACACATTTCACTGAGAAACCATTGAATACTAAATACTCCAAACACCTAACTTCCAGCTAGAGAATTTCAAAATTATTAGGTGTATCTTCTTTAAATGTACATTACGTATTTAATTAAAAAAGCTTAGTTGTAATACTCTTAATAAACCATTTATGAGGCTTCTCTTTTTCCATTACAGGCTTCTATAGATAACTTACTGCAACATTTGAAGAGTTATAGGTAACTTGCTGCATTCATTAAATGGTTTCTATCCTTTGGATTGTGCACAGCCAATGGCTGGCTAAGCCAATAAATGCTGACTTAAATAGAAGCCTGTTTGTTTTAAAACGCTTTTCTGCTCTCCTGTTAACCTCAAACCTTTAGGAGTAAAGAGTTTCATGTATTTTGACCAAAAGATGTAGGTAGCTCAGTTACTAACTGTACACATCACTTCATATGACACAAGTTCCCCTTCTCTTTGATTACTGTAACACTTTCTTTAAATTTCCTAGTACTGTCAGTCTAATGAGCCTTAAATAGTGGAAAAGCAATCTTTAAACGTAAGAGCAATTATTGATGCCATACACATTTAGAGTGGCCTCCTAGAACTTGTTTTGGTCTGGAAACCAGTAAAAATGTTTATGGGAAACACTGCAATTTTTTTAGGTTCTAATGGAAAGCTACAAGACGCACAAACAGGATATGGACTCAGCCTCTGCTTTCATCAATAATTGAGACATATTTTGAGAATTAAGTAACTCCTCTCCCTAGTGGCAGGAACAGCCACCTAAATAAAGGTTGATTGCTCAGACTGGAAAACACTTAGAATGTATTTTATTATCTATTCTCTTACTTTTCACAGTTAAGCCTTCAGGAAATCTATGCCAAAATTCTCTCTTCACTTTTATTCTACCTGACAATTGGAGCCCTGGTGGCACAGTGGTTAAGAGCTTGACTGCTAACCAAAAGGCCAGCAGTTTGAATCTACCAGCTGCTCCTTGGAAACCCTGTGGGGCAGTTCTGCTCTGTCCTATTAGAGTTGCTATGAGTTGGAATCGACCCTATGGCACCAGGTTTGGTTTTTTGTTTTTGTGTTTTTGTATATTCCTTATCTCACTTCAGTGACTGTGTTATGCTTGGGAACATTAACAGATGCATGATTTGGGACACAGATAGCCAAACCACAAAAACTCTGAGCCTGGGATGAAAATGGTAGCACCTACAACAGTTACTTAGATGAAACAGACAAATTCATAGAAAAACACAAACCACCAAAACTGACTCAGGAAGATAAAGAAAACCTGAATAGACCTACAACAAGTAAGAAGATTGAATTAGTAATTTAAAAACTTCCCACAAAGAAATGCCTAGGACCAAAGGTATCTGTGTCAATCTCTTTTCCCAGACCATTCCCACCTCACCAAATCCCTAGGAGATATATAATTATATATATGCATATAGTATATTCATTATGCAAGTCCAGAAAGACATCTCAGTTTGACTATTCTTTAATTAGAAACAACTATTTCTTTTCACAGAAGTATAAACAGTAATTATAATCTTTTTTTTTTATACAGATATAAAACAATCTGCAAGAGATTATGTTTAGGAAGGCTCTTCTAGATACTTCTTACAGTCCCTTTCAGCTCTGAAAGTCCATAACTGTATTTATGGGCAAAGGGCAATCAATTATGCACTTGAGTGTTTCAATAGGAGGTAAAACCTAATACAACAAGGTAACACGTCATCCAACAAATCATCTGCTATAAAAGAAGAAGTTTTGAAATGCTAATTTCAACTCTAGTGAAATAAATACCTAATTTTAAAAAGTCTTTGCTTCCTGCTAGAAACATAAAGGGAACAACTTCTACAGGAGTTTGAGAACACAGAAAGACTTTTACACTAATCATGCCTTTGAGCCCAAGAAATGGAGCCCATAGTCCTGTGTTGGAATTCCCTCAGGCAAAGCTGGGAATCACATCCTAAAATCTTCTGCAACATGAGCCTCTTTTATTTGGTATTTTTAAGCCAACTCTACTGCTGCTAGGTTTGGAAGTCCTTTTAAGAAAAGAGCAGAAAAAGGCACCACATTTCACTTCTAAGTCAATGTTAAAATTAGCTTCTCCCGCTTTTTCCTCTTTCTCTTCTTCTCTTCCAAGTTGCTTGCGGCATCAGCAAAAAACATAACTTCACTTTTTGCCTCGCATTCCCTCTTGAGATAATCAAGGCCGGCCATATTGAAGCCAATAACATCCTGGAGAGGAATACAAAAAACGTTAAACTTTCTTCCACCTCAGTTCAATACAGTAGCACGTCTAGGTCAGGGGAACTAACACTGCTGGTGTTATTATTCACCTTCCCTCTCTAAGATGTTTTCCTGGGTTCTTCTATTCCTACAAGCTCCAACAAAAACCTCTTCTCAAATGCACCTGTATGTCTACGAAATATTGCCAAAGACAAGGCACAGCATTCTACGCTACTAAGTCACATATATTTTTCTCTCAAAGATACTTACCCGGACTTGGCTGACTTTTGAAATAGTTGTTTCCTTTAATTTTTCTATCACTGGCACAAGCATTTGGTTGCTAGTGATCTGCCCAAAGTGAATTCTATAGAAAAATAAACAAGAGCCATGTTGTAAAGAGGGATCTGATTCTTCTAGAAATAGTAAGTGTATCCTTACAAACAACATCAAAACAAACAAAATGGGGGGGGGGCGCAATAAATGTTTCTAATAAAAAAAAAGCTAAAGAGGTCTGTTTCTCTACCATTCACTTCTATCTGCTGACAATGTTAAAAATAAACTTTGTAATATGCTCAACTCATTTGCAAAGCTCTTTTCCTAGCTATCTACCAGCTAGACAAAGATTTTGACAATGCTATTTTATGGAAAGCTCAGTGAGAGAATGAGCCTTCTGAGAAATGCTAAATCAACAAAGATATATTAATATTTCTAATGAAGCCACAGCAAAAAGGAGAGTGATGATACTCTAACCTAGAATACCAAGGTGCACTTCCCAAATTCATGCTCCTTTAATCTCCATGTTCACTCTCAATTGTGACCTGCCATATCTATTTGTCAGATAGTACCCATCTACAACTCTCTGATATGCTAGAAGTATTCTTGGTGTTTTAGAATCAGTGATCCCTATTCAACAGTACATACACCATGGCATTAAGAACTTACATTGTTGAAAATAAATTTGTCCTTACAACTTGCACAAAATATGAAAACTGCAACAGAATAATATAAACCTATCACTGTTCTTCTTTTGCTACTAACCTGGTAGAATATAAGGAATAGAGGATTAAGAATCACCAAAACAGGCCAACTCAGTCAATTCACTGAATATTAAATCACTAAATATACCTGTTTTTTTAAACTATGTAGTTCGGCTAACCAGTTTTTGTCTTCTTAACAACATTTTAAGTGATGTTCAATTTGTCCCTATCCCTGTTTCCTGTTACAACAGCTTGAGACAGAAGGGCAAAAGAATGGGAGATGAGATGAATACATTCTTAGGTCTTTGCAAATATATCCTTCTCAATTACACACTAACAAGAATCTTTCATACTTAAGAATATAATCTCATGATACATTCTCTTCACGTTCCTTAGTTTTCCTCTATATATGCCCCTACTTTTCCCTTTGCACCTGTAGAGACCTGGAGAAATAAATCAGCACTTCTTAAAATGCTGTTGTGAGAATGAAACAAAAACCATTTAGCTTAAACTAAATAGTTTAGAATAAACAACAACTTAATTTGACCATTCAGGAAACTGGCTTTCAGCAAACTGAATAGAACCAGAGCTACTATGTTAGACTGTGACCTTGAGGCCCATGATTAAGCATTCCTATATTACCTCATATTAATCAAAGAGGTGGGTCATCACTATTTTCATTTTAAGGGCAAGACTGATTCCCAAAAATAAGAAATAACTTATATCAGGCAGCACCGAAATTCTGCAAAACAGTCTCTGAAACTGAATCATAAGATTTCTCAATCTCAAAGCTTCGGCAGTAGCTTCAATTAACTTACTACCAGAATCAGTTATGCTAAGTACACATGGTGTTCTTTGGAAAAGGATGTTACCTGAGGAGAAAGAAGAGACACCTACACAGAAGTTCAACATCAAAGCCCTGCTGGATGAATTCATTGAAAAGCTTAAGAACATCTGGGACGTAAGAGAAAGGTAGCACAAGCAGAGATTCTTCCAGCTCACTGAGGAAAGAAATAAACATTAAAAACGCCACATTTCTTAGCATGGTCAACTTTTAAATCTTTCCCTTTACTATTTTTTCTACTGTTTTTATATTTGAAAAGATCTTGCCTATTCATAAACATTCATCTATATTATAGATTTTTTTTAGTATTTACTTTTTATATCTATTTTATATCATTTTGGTACATGGCATGGTGGGATAATCTAACTTTTTTCCCCTCCAAATAACAAACTTCTCCAAAGTCTTTTGTTGAACATTCCATCTTGTCTCTATATACTTGTTTTACCATATATCAAGTCTTTATATATAACACAGTCTGTTTCAGAGCTGTTGAGTCTATTTTGATGACCTATAAATTCTGGTACCAATCCTCCACTACTGTAATTACTGCTGATCCTGTAGCTTTTTAATCTAGGAGAATAATTCCCTCCTGTTATTCTGGTTCTGGACTATTTTACTTCCTAGAACTAACTCTAGTATTTCACTAATTCCAATTAGAAACTCCAACTGGAATACAAACCTATAAATTAGTTTAAGAAAAATTAAATATTTACAACAGTCTTCCCATTTAGTAATGTATAAAGTCTCCATTAATCTAAAGTTTCTTTTATATTTCTCCAGTAAAGTTTCGTCATTTTTCTCACACAGGTCCTGTTTATTTCTTGTTAGGGATGCATTTAGATACTATGGTTTGTTGTGAAAAATGATAACCTTCAGTAGGTAGAACTCATAAAAACATCAAAAGGTAAATAAATAACCAAACTCATTGCTGTCAAGTCGATTCCGACTCACAACAACCCTGCAGGACAGAGTAGAACTGCCCCATAGGGTTTCTAAAGCTGTAATCTTTATGGAAGCAGACTGCCACATCCTTCTCCCATGGAGTGGCTGAGGGGTTCAAACCGCTGACCTTTCGGTTAGCAGCCCAGAGCTTTAGCCACTGCGCCACCAGGTCCCTTAAATCACAAACAAGAAAAAATTATTTCTAAAAATATATGACAAAGCATACAAAGAATTCTTAAAAAACCAGTAAATTCTTAAAAACTACTAAAAAGCACAAAAACATTAACTAAAAATTCACAAAAAGCAATAGAAATGGCCAATAAATAAGATAAAAATTTTAACTTCACTAATAATCAAAAGAAATGAAAATAATACAATACTACATTTTGCCTTTCAAACTGGCGAAGAATTTTTAAAATCCTGGCAGAAACTAGTAGAAGCACTTTGGGAAGCAATTCAGCAATCTATACCCATCAGTTATCAGAACACTACACAAAGACAGACGTGTAAAGGTTTTCACTTGAAGCATTTTTGATGATAGCACTAAAGAATGCAACACATCCAACAGTATTATTCATGCAACAGAATATTTGGAATTAATTCAATGATGTGTTTTTGAAGACTATTAATAAAATGAGTAACTGTGCAAGAAATATTATGTGAAAAAGAGGATTAGAAAACTATATAGTATGATTCCAATTGTGTAAGTACATAGAAAATATGCCAAAAGAAATATATAACAAAAAATGTTAACAGGTGGTACTTCTGATCAAATTATAACTTCATTACCTACGATGTAAAGGAGTACCACCCTTCATTTGTCCCTTTACACTTTGGGAGTCTCCATGTTCTAGCACTTCAAAAACAATATTATAATGAAATTATTTTCCATCAAGATTTTGACACAGTTAAATCTATAAAGAAAACTGTCAATTATAAATAACCTTTCTTTTCTTCCCTCCCCTTCGGTATTCTTTCCAAAATATACTCAAATAAGCATTCGATAAACGTCTTTAGCTGACAAATTATGTTAGTTGTGCACTAGGACTCACCTTGACTTGATTCCTTTAAAAATCTCTAATACATAAGCTGAAGGCTACAAAGGAAGGAAGACACCATTAGTGATACTCTTGGTTGGTTTCTATTGAAGCTCTCTAATTTCTATCTCCTAAAAAAACAGGGACCCCTCTCTCTCACTTGAGAAACAGTGTTCTAAAATGGCAAGATGAGACTGGGCTTTGGAGTTACCCAGATCTGGGTTCACACTCCAGCTCTGTCACCTACCAACTATATTACCTTGTATCTATAAGTCAGTCCACTTTCCATATGTATAGGATGAAGACACACTGATTTACATGATTATCATGAACATGAACAAAACATGGGAATCAAATACCAAGCAACTAAAAATTGCTAGGTTAATATACACTTTCTCATTACTTTCTCTCTCTCTCTCTCTCCCCTCATTTATCTGATTTATGTCAACTTCTCCTCCAAAAACTTCAATTTCAAAGTTCATTTAGATGAATAAAATCTTCAAAGTGCTTTGGACACTGAGCAAAAATAAACACCAGAAAACAGAGAATGCCAGTACAGTACCACCAAAAAGGCTGACTTGGAAGTTATCCTAAAGTGGTCCTTTTGAAATACAAAACACCCTAGAAGATAACACCATTCAAGAGAGATTTTGAAAGCCAAAATATTTCCCAACATATCCATCCCTCAAATCACAATGCCTCACTTCCTCTTGTCCCTGAAAATAACCTGTGAATAACCAAGGGGAAACCGTTAGACATTCTACTCACTGAGATATTGCCATAAGCCATCAAGATGGGGTTGATGGGACGAGGAACCTACGAAGAATCATTAAACCAAATCACTAAAAAACAAGACTTTGATAGTGCTTATTACAGGCAGAGTGATAACAGTATTTTGCAATTTTGAAAAATAAGAGACCCTAAAAACCAAGAGTATAAAAGAATTATCAGGCTCTTTAATTATTATAGTACTCATGAATGAGTTTGGGCAAAATACTGGGCAATACTAGGCACCTGAAATGGTTACCCTGCCCCCACAAACCCAACAATTAAACCAACATGATTTTCTACTCAGTACAATAATCACTTCAATCTATAATTTCCTATCCTTTCCTTTTCATTAAGACCAAGCTTCCTTCTTCCCACAGTTCTTCTATTCCTTTCTTCTAATATTTGAATTACAAGAGATTCTATTACATTTGTCTTATTTCTGGATGTGAGTTAATAAATCCTTAAATGGTGGTCTCCTTCTCAGGAACTGTCTCTATTTATAACTCTTGCCCAAAGCATAATTTAATGGGACTATTTACCTCTTTCCCTGCAGCTTTACAAATGGCTTTGTGTTCTTTCATTTTTGCAGTTTCTTCTCGGTATAGCTCTATAGCCTCCATGATCCTCTCAGCCTACTCAGATGATGACAAAGGACAGCAATCATCATAACACACTCCATCACCCTAGGACACTGCAACTAGAAGACTTGATTGGAAATCTTCTAAAAGCAGTAGGTTGACTCAGTTTAATAAAGATGTGCCAAGAGTGTCAAACAGCATTTAAAGGAGTCTTTGGTTTTTCTTTTTTTACTTTACAGGGTAGAGACTAAGTGTGATCGACCCAGGTGAAACCATATCTGGGCACAGCTCACAGGAACACCTGCAAGATGCTACTTTCAGGAGGGGCTCAGCTTTCCTTTCTAGAAACCATGCATCAATCAAACAGATTCAGGACTATTCTTGTCCCTGGCTACAAGGGAGAAACACAGAGGTTATGATCTCCACCTTTAAATTTCATCAACTTTTTGCCACAGAAGGGGTATTTGGTTGATAAAGAGTAGGCCTTTTACTAAAAATTTGGGATCCCATCGGGATTCTATTAAGAAATGAGATACCACACTATATATCAACTTACTGCTTTGACTGTTTCAATAGTTTTCTTTCCAGTAAAGTAGTTCTCGCCTTGAGTCTCCCCTGGAACCTGCCAGAAACGAAGAGATCACTGAATAATATTGTTGACGAGTTAAAAAGCCAATGAATTAATCTACCGCTATAAAAGAACAGCATTATTATTTTACAATAATAACAGTATTATCAGCTACCACTAGCTGAGTGCTACCATAAGTTGTAGACACTATGTTAAGTATTTATTATATGCATTATCATAAGCATATCCTGCTGCCACAAATGCTGAAAGAGAATGCCCAATTCCTCAAATTTCTTTCTTCTTCTTCTGCTCTACAGCAAATGAACCAACACCATAAAGCCTGAACCTTCTTTCAAAAAGAAAAAAAGCCAGAATGACAAGTATCCAATACAAAAAAAAAAAAAAATCACTTGTCCCATAAAATCAGGAGAGTTAAATAAAAAGCACTACAGAGACTCTTTCCCATATCAGCTGATTATGGCTTTAGCATCTAGCCCCGAGTCTAATTCCATTAGAAATTCTTGAAACTGTAGTAAATTTCAATATGATAACTAACAAGGAACAATCTCAGGCCCCTAAAGATCTACTTACTGCTGGTTGGTCTTCTTTGGCCACACTCTCCTCATATTCTGCTTCCCTTTGCTGTCAAGAGAGATGTAAGTTAGTATCAGAGAAAAACTTGCTCGCTAGGTAAAATGAAAATGAAGCAGTGAGAAGCTGCTTCCTTCAAAATATAATCCACTAATGACATCTTTGTCTCTGCTTGGCTTCTGAAATGGGTGATACTGGTCTTGGAAGCACATCTCTTGGAGGTTGCTGAACTTGCAATGAATGTGGTGTGACTGACAGAAAATTTCAGCTTGGACAGCCTACCTGATACCCACTAGCATATCTGTAGCCAAGCCTAAATTCTTACCATCTCCCTTTCTTCCTCAAGAATAAGTGGCTCCCTTGTTCTCTCCCAGAGTCTCAGAGATTTGTCATGGGATGCTGACACAACATAGTCCCCACTGGGGCTTACAGCCAAGCACCATATTTCCTGGTGGTGACCCTAGACAAAGAGAAAGCAAAAATAAAAAATCCTGACTAAGAATACTTCACAGACTATTACTTGTTTACATTAGTGGGAGATCAAACACTCACTCTTTAAGTTCTGACCAAGCAAACCAGCTAAGAGTTTACCTCCAGAGTTTGTATGTGTTCAAATTTGTCTGCATCCCACTGCTTAATCTTACGGTCTTTTCCAGCAGTGAAGAAGAGGCGAGACTTGGGTACAAACTGTAGGTACATCACACTGAAAAGTGAGAGAAGTATTCAAATGTCATCGAAGTCCAGGTTAGTAAAAAGAGTTTTACAGACACAAAAGGTTTCCAGATATAGCTTTTAAATAGCTACTTCTACAGTGTCAGACTATTTACATTGTAGAACTTTTCAATTATCATTAGAATAGTAAATAATAGACACAGATACTCAAGAAAAATGATAGTTACAGTGACACATAGGGAGATCTTTGAAAAAACATTTACCTGTCATCATGTGCAAACAGAGACTTGTGGCAGTCCCCAAAGTCCAAGCCCCAGATTTTCACATTCCTATCAGCAGAGCCGGTTGCTATTAGTGCCCCGTCCTGTAACAGACAGGAGTGAAACATTATTTAATTATCTGAACACTGTAAGTTAGATAAAGAAAAGCTAACCAGAACATTTAACCCATTTCTTCCAAAAACATTAAAATCAATGCTTAAAAAAAAAATTTCATCGTTCTACGAAGAGCATCTAATTATCTGCTTTTCCTATAGAGCTACTTAAAAAACTTGTCAAGTGAAAGCAAGAATTTTGTGGCTGAAATATTTTTGTATTGCCATAGGGCAGTGATACACCTTGATGTAGGTTATCTATCTGTTAAACAGACAGGAAAAAGAATCTCAAGTGTCTCTGTGATTTAAGGGGAGAAAACAGAGAAGAAAGGGAAAGAGGAGGAGAAAATGAGGCTGGGGAGAATCCACTAGAATGTTTATGATCTAGCCTATTATCCTACATTTCCATCATTGTTTCTCTTATCTTTCGTATTTCGATGCCTAGTTCAAATGGTTATCAACATAATGAGAAAATTGGAAATATTTTTAATTCTGCAACTTGCTGTTAAAGTGCCACTAATCACAGACAGCTAGAACATGAGTTCAGTTACTTTCACACAGAACACAAATGGTTTCTAAAATACACATTGCCACTCCTAATCACAACTAAACATCTTACAAAAGTGTGATTTTGCTAAAAAAAACAAAGTATATACAGTGCAAAATATCATAAATATCTGAATACAAAGCAAAGTTCCATCCTCCTCAACAATATTATCCTTCAGAACAGAGGCGGATGCCTTTTTGACTGTCATTCATATTTCAAGGCACTCTACCAATCACAGTATTTTCGAGAACAAACTATTGTTTGGGGAAATCACCAAAGGGAGTTAGTTATAAGAACTGAGATACTTATAAAAGTATTCTGAAAACACTAAAGTAGTATATATATTTAAGGTGTGATAATAATATTTATTATTTTATGACTAATTTTTGAGAAGTCAGATACATAACCGAATAATGAAATACTCTAAATGAAGGATATCAAGCCAAGAACTGAGACAGGGTCTGCTTTAGAAAACTCACTGTTACTGAGATACTATCTAAACTTTACTTACATAAGAGATGTCCATGCACAGAACAGGCAGTTTGTGTCCATACAGTGAGAGAAAAAACTAAACATTAAAAAAAAAATATAAACATAATTGATTAATTCATATTTGTTTGTAATATACATGCATAATTTATTACATGTGGGTCTAAAATATAAGTTTAAAACTTTAAACACTATTCTGGATTGCTTTATATGATATTTTCAAATACAAAACCACTGAAGGCAGCTTGTTAAGAGTACTTGTGTTCACTAAACAGATCCTATACGCACTTGCCAAGAATACTGCAATATAGTGGCACTAAGGATGCCCCTGGAAGCTACTGCCTCAGTCAGACTGTGGCAGAGAGATGTTCTCTGGATCTCTTAGCTGAAAAGATGCTGGGGTACTTTTTGAACAAAAATATTCCCAGGTCCAACCCAGTCCTACTCTCTGGGTCCCAGTACAGATGCTCTTGCTGTAGGCCCCAGTAATCTAGACTTCTAAAAGCAACCTAAATGACCCTGATGTGTGAAATCACAGCCAGGACAACTATCAGTCCTCTTAAAACTAGTGGCTACTACTGGACTTTCTAGCCACAAGATTCTGAATATATAAAATATGACTTGTTTTAAAGAAAATTTATGACCTATAGAATTCTTTCAAATTTTGAGCTTCCCTAGTGCATATAAACTGGTTTTATTCACGTGTAAATTTTCAGGAACATAGTACTGCTGGGTACAGTCAAGGCCCCTTCCTTATAGTCTCAACCCAAATTCCTAAGGGTCAGTCAGAAAGAAAGAAAACATTCTCAGGCATAACGACTGTACCTTCAGAGTGTCAACATAGAAAATTTTCACAGTACAGTCCAGCAAAGACACAGCCAACAGCTTTTGGTTGGGAGAGTAACTGACACACAGGACATCCTCATCTAGTTGCAAGGTCCGGGTCTGCTGCACAGAAAGTCTAGCATCATAGAAAGCACCAAGAAAAAATAAATGAGTACTCTACAAACAGATAATTCTAAAAACACTCCTGAGTTTAGTTCTGATCAAAGATTCTATAGAAGAATCCTGATCAAAAGGGGGAAAATGTAGAAAGAATTTCAAATTCTCATGAAATGCAGACTTGATGGAGCCACTGAGGCTGGATGACCCCTCAAAACTATTGCCGAGATAATCTTTAAAGTTTAAACCGAAACTATCCCCTGAAACCATCTTTAAACCAAACAATAGTTTAGCTTAATTAGTAAAGAATGTCTGCCTTGAGCATTGTGCTCTTTTAAAGAATTATCTATACGGGATCAAACTGACAACAGCAACCGAAAAGGTCAGATGAGAAGCTCAGGGAGCAGTGAGTTTATGTTAATGGTGGTGAAATACTCTTGAAAAGGATAGTGAGAATGGCTGCGCAACTTGAAGAATGTAATCAATGTAACTGAATTGTACATGTAGAAATCGTTGGTGTATGTTTTGCTGTGTATATTTTCACACATACACATCCCCCCCACCCTGAAAAAAACTTCTGAGTTCAACTTATTACAAAAGGGTCCCTATGAGATACATATGTCAAAAAGCCATTCAGTGGCTTCCCATTTTTCCTCCAAAAAATGGACAGAAATAACAAAATGTACACTTACCTCTTTTGGGTACTATTTTCATCTTTCACCAATTCAAAATCCCAGAACTTGACAGATTTATCTGCACTACCTGTCACAAAGCCACGCTGGAAATCAAATGACATTTCAGTTAAAAACTATTTTAGGTAGCACAGAAACTCTAAGAACACACAACGAAATATTCTTTAGAAAAAAAAGAAAAGATTTTAATGGCATGGGGTAAGAATTAAAATTGTGGCTTGTCCTTAACTCCTTTCATTGCTATTTGGGGCTGTTACCCCAGACCTTACATGAGAATTCCCAGCAGAGACTAATGTAGATAGATGATAACTAATGAAAAGCCCTAGTTATAGTTTGTTCCGTATCAGATTTGATAATTTAAATAAATTTGCTCAAAGTATTCACCTCAGAAAGTACAAATTTATTCCTACAATGTTGCTCCTGCTTAAAACACATTTGAAACTGTATTCAAATCACAAGAAAATTAGTCTCAATACATTGCAGTGTTAGTGGAAAGTTAATAAAAACATGGAGTTAGAAAACTGGACTTCAGATATCTATTCACTCATTTTATGGATATATAACATATGAAACAAATAGAGAAAAATTAGCTAGTTTACAAAACCACTGTGAAAACAATAAATGACATGGATGTGAAAATACTTTGGAAAAGATAGAACACTACATAAATGCAAGACATCATTACTATTTTAAATTCAGTTGTTTGGACCCCAAATGGCATTTACTACCGACTCTAAATTCCAGATGTATTTTTCCCAAAAATAGTATCTACTCTCAATGAATTCTGCCACCAATGGTACGCCACCATTGAGAATATTCAAACAAATTGGGCCATAGTCTTAAAATAAAAGAAAAACAACAACAACAAAAAACTCAAAATGTTCTGAGCAACAGCACCATCACTCTAACAGGTACATGGTTCCCCAGGGTGACTCCTTTGAAGGGGACCACACTTTTACTGATTTGTAAGGGCTGGCATATTTGCTAAAAATACCAATCTTATATTGCCATAGATGTTTAAGCTTAAGAGGAGAACAGAAAAGTCTACTCTATTCTCTGCTTTGTGTTGCCCAAGAGAATACTTCTTAAGAAGTATTACGAACCAGTGGAAAAAAATTCATAAGGGTAAGCAATTTGATGTCATGTAGTTGATGATCAAGAGCAGCTGAGCAAGAATTCATTTCATAGTGACAGCTATTTACATTCCCAGGTAAATGAGATGGTATATCTGAAGTCTAAGGATTACACAAAAAGCAGAGTTTTTTAAAAAAGAAATCCTGAGTGAAATCTTTCTTTAGCAGCAGTAGAACTTTGATGTAAGAATTGGGAAATGCAGCGAGAGTGCTGAAGTCCAGATCTTTAACATGTAGTTTGGGTACCTGATCTGGAGAGAGGGACATGGACCACAAAGCTCCATCATGTGCATCTACCGTCTCCAGCAGATTTCCAGAGGCCAAGTCATAAAGCTGCAGCTTCCCTGTCTAACAAAACACAAAATGAATACACCTCTCGTGAGCACACCTACAACCTCTTCGATTAATGCCTACACAATTTAGAAAAGATTGCATAACCAGGCAGCAAAAAATATGGCCAGTTTCTTAGGAAATGGACACCAAGTTCTGTGCTCTGTATTCCTTATGTCAATCAATGCCATTAACTCCCTTCCTGACGTGCTGCATTAACTCTGGCAGGGCCGCCACGCCGTGTAACTACATAGTGTACGTATAACCTTAGTATACTGGACTCTGGAAGGGAAACTCTGAAAGGGAAATATCATGGCCACAGGCAAATATACACAGAACAGCAAATGACAAACATGAAAACCTTTAAAGTTTAACCAATCCTTTACGTGGGCTAGCAGTCCCTGGGTGGTGTGCATAGGTAAACACTTGGCTTCTAAATGAAACGTTGGTGGTTTAAGTCCACCCAGAAGTGCCTGGGAAGAAAGGCCTGGCAATCTACTTCGGAAAAATAAGCCACTGAAAACTGTATGGAGCACAGTTCTACTCTGACACATGGGGTCACCATGATTCAGAACTGACTCCACAGCAACTGGTTTGTTTGGTTTTAAGTGGGTTATCTTCTAGTTACTGGCATAACCAGCTCTTCTCCGTTTAGTTTTGATTGCTTCCTCTATAATACATTGCCAATGACAGACAAATAGAAATCCATCTACAATGCTAGGGAGGACAATGAACTAAAAACTAAAAATCACAGTAGCTTAGAAAACCATCGTTGCACAGCTCCGGTTGAGAGCTTTGTGGATGACATGATCATGGTGTCAGCGTGTAACACACACATAGAGGCAAAGACTGATCTATGATGAGTTTCTGCACAATGCGGTGGAAACAGTGTAAACCTGAAGACGTGAATCCCAGGTCTGCCTCTTTCCAACCCTATGACCATTGGTGAATTCATTCTCCATGAACCTGTAAAATGGGGCTTCTATCACCAACCTCTCTAGCTGTTATGGGGATTAACTGAAACGTTATGTTATGTTAGGTACTGTTGAGTCGGCTCTGACTCATAGCGATCCTATGTATAATAGAACGAAACGTTCCCCAGTCTTGTGCCATCCTCACAATCACTGCTATGTTTGAGCCCGCTGTTGCAGCCACTGTGTCAATCCATCTCATTGAGGGTCTTCCTCTTTTTCACTGACCCTCTACTTTACCAAGCATGATGTCCTTCTCCAGGGACTCGTCCCTGATAACATGTCCAAAGTAAATGAGATACAGTCTCGCCATTCTCACTTCTAAGGAGCATTCTAAGATAATGTGCATTAACTGTCTAGCACAGGGAATAGGCTAGGGATTCTGTTTTAGTCGTACAGGTAGTCTTCGAAACAATTAACAAAATGCTTTCCCAACAGCAAATATTCAGTGGACATTTGTTGAAAGAATGAATGAAAAACAAGGGAAATTTTTGATTGAAAAGTTAATACTATTACCCTGACAATGACCCTAAAATCTCTCCGGCCTATTTTACACTTTTTGCTAGGTAAGACCTATTCACTGTGATTCACAGGTTTTCTAATAAAATCACCCACATATAACATTGGTTTGTGGGGATAATGATGCTGAATACTTACAAAGCACTTTTCAAAATATTCCATATATCAGTATTTCATTTTATTCTCACTACCACTGCTACTACAACTACTACTACTACCACCTCTGCTTTTGTTGTTGTCATTAACTCAATTCCAACTCATGGCAACCCCACATGTGCAAAGTAGAGTAAGTCCATAGGGTTTTCAAGGCTGTGACCTTTTGAAAGCAGATTGTCAGGCCTATCTTCTGGGGTGCCTCTGGGTAGGTTTGAACCGCCAGCCTTTCCATTAGCAGTCGAGCACTGAACTGCTTGTGCCACTCAGGGACTTTAATGTCTTCTATCAGCTCATACTTGTTGGGTATTTGCTGAGTGCCAGTCTCTTTGCTAAGTGCTTTGCATACTTCACCTTGGTGACATAGGCTATTATCATTTTATATGGGAAAACCAAGGACAACAGGGTTAGTAACTTGCCCAAAGGTCACACAGAAAGTGAGTGGTGGAGCCTGATCTACACCTAGGCCAGTCTGGTGCCAAAGCCACTATCAGAAAGCAAGCATCATCATCCCATTATATAGATGAAGAAACACACTAAGAGAAGTTAGTGACTTGCTTCAAATGATCCATTTTGTAAGGTGGAGAATCTGAATCAAATTCATGTCTTCGTGCTCTAAATTCTAAGCTGCCTATTTCCACACAGCTGTCTCTCAATCTGATTAACAGCTGGGGATAAGGACTTGGTCAGTTTGCCTTTAATCAACTATTTCTATCTGCCAAGCAAGATGCAAGGTACATATATACTTTATCATTAATCTGCCCAAAGCACATAAAAAGATATATGAAAGAATGATCATCAAAAATGTTAATGGTAGTTATCTCTTGGTCGTAACTTTAATTTCCTTCCTCTTAACTTTACATGGAGCCCTGGTGGCACAGTGGTTAAGAGTTCAGGCTGCTAACCAAAAGGTCAGTAGTTCGAATCCACCAGCTGCTCCTTGGAAACCCTATGGGGTAGTTCTACTCTGTCCTATAGGGTCGTTATGAGTTGGAATTGACTCGATGGCAACGCATTTTTTTGGGGAGGGTTTAACTTTACATATGTCTTGATATTTTTTAAAACAAAACGTTAAATATCAGGTAGAAAAGTCCCAGAAATCCAAGAACAAGTTTTAGTTTACCTTTGTTCCGATGACTACCTGTCTATCACCAGGTACAAAAAATGAGCAAAGCGCATATTCACAGGTCATTGTGCGAATACACTGCAGTGTAGACCTGTGAGAAAGAAGCATGAAGAACTCATATGCTAAGAGAACATGCTTCCCCATCTTAGAAGTGAGCATTTACATTTCAATACACACTTAGCCACACAGTGATCAACATGAGAGAAGACAAAAGTCTTGATAACCCTTGGCTCAAGGAAGGAAGAAAACATTAAACTGTACTTTGTTTTCTTTGTAGGGGGCCTCCTAATCCTAAGGAATGGGGATTATACACAGGCAGGGCAGAGAACAGCATCTGCTAGGCTCAATAGGACCCAATCTGTCATTGCCAAGAAGCAAACAAGCCCATGGGATTCCAAGTCAAATTAGCATATCCCTACAAGCAAAGTTCATTTTAAAGAACCATAAACATTCATCCATTCCAGAAATATATATTAAGTGCCCACTTCATTCAACAAACATTTACTAAATGTCCACTTCAGGCCAGGAACTCTTTCTTCTAGGTACTGGGAATATTACAGCAGACGTGCCTAACCTCAAAAAGCTTAATATTCCTTTGAAGGAGGAATGGACATGAACAATAAACAAATAAATATGTAAACATCTGGTATCTGGAATGACAGTAAGTGCTAGGAAGAAACAATGCTGGTGTAAGGAAATGGGAGTATAGCATATTGTCACTTGATAAAAGACATCAAAAGCCTGTAGATAAATGGGGGAAGATCATTCCAAACAAAAAGAATAGCGAGCACAATAGCTGTGAGGCAGGTGCATGCTTGTTGTGTTCAAGGGATAGCAAGAAGGCTGTGTGGCTCTTATAGAACAGAAGCGAAAAGTGGTAAGAGATAAAGTCTATAAAAACCATAATAAAAAGATTACACTGACTGCTGTGTTGATAAGAGACTTCAGAGGGGCAAGCAAGGAAACAGGGAGACAAATTAGGAGGCTGTTACCATATTCCAGATGAAAGATGATGGTGGTTTGAATCAGGGTGGCAGCAGTGCAGGTGGCACAATGTGGTTGGATTCTGGATACAATCTGAAGGTAGAGCTCAGAGGATGTGCTAATGGGTTGGATGTGGGATATGAGAAAGAGGAGTCAAGGATGGCTACAAGGTTTTGGCCTTAAACAACTGGAAGGAAGCAGTTATAATTTACTCAGGTGGGGGAGTGTTGGAGAAATACGGATCGCAAGTTTGGTTTGGGACATATGACAGTTTGAGATGCCTAATTAGACATCCAAATAGTATACAAAGCAGTTGAATACAAGTCCAATGTTCACAGGAGTTACTAAGGCTTGCAATATAAATTTATGCATCATCGGTATACATATCACATAAATGGAGTGTAGACGAAGAAAAGGTCCAAGAATCCACCCTGAACCATGCCAACATTTAGAGGTCAGGAAAAGAAGGCTCCAGCTAAGACTGGGAAGAAAGAGCCAGTAGCGGAAGAGGAAGTAATGAAAGTCAAATAAATAAAGTGTTTCAAAAAGGAGAAAGTTATCAATTCAAGGAGAGAATGATAAAAGCTGATAGGTCATTGGATTTAGAAGCATGAAGATCACTGTTGAAATGACAAGAGCTGTTTCCATGAAATGGTGGGGTCAAAAGCCTAGTGGGAGACAGATGAAAACAGAATGAAAAAAAGGAGTCAGCGAAAGTGAGAATGGGGAAGTAACTGGAGAAGGATGTGGGGATGATGGAGGGTTATTATTTCTCTTAAAATGAGAGATGTTATAGCAATCATGATGGTGTCATGGATTGAACTGTGCCCCCCAAAAATGTATCAACTTGGCTAGGCCATGATTCCCAGTATTGTGTAATCGTCCACCATTTTGTCATCTGATGTGATGTTCCTATGTGTTGTATATCCTAACCTCTACGATGTTAACGTGGCAGGATTAGAGGCAGTTATGTTAACGAGGCCAGGACTCAATCTACAAGATTTAGTCTTAAGTCAATCTCTTCCAAGATATAAAAAATGAGAATTAAGTAGAGAGACAGGGACCTCATATCACCAAGAAACAAGAGCCAGGAGACTAGTGCATCCTTTGGACCCAGGATCCCTGCGCTGAGAAGTTCCTCCACCAGGGAAGACTGATGACAAGGACCTTCCCCCAGAGCCGAAAGAGAGAGAAAGCCTTCCCCTGGAGTTGGTGCCCTGAATTCGGACTTCTAGCCTCCTGACTGTGAGAGAATAAATTTCTCTTTGTTAAAGCCATCCACTTGTGGTACTTCTGTTATAGCAGCACTAGATAACTAAGAGCTGGAAATGATCCAACAGAAAGGGAGGAGAAAGCAGCTCATGTATAAAGTTGTGATTAGCCTAGGGTAAGATCATTGACCTGGTAACAGGAGAAAAGGCATATCACGTGGGTATAGATGTGATTGTTGTTGTTGTTGGGTGCCATTGAGTCGATTCCGACTCATAGCAACCTGATGTGATGGGAGTGTACAATTTTCTCTTCTAAATGTTTCTATTTTTTTCAGTGAATTAGGAAGCAAGGTCATCTTCTTAAAGGTGCTGGAAGTGTCTGAGATTTGAGGAGAGAGGAGAAGATGTAAACCAGTCATTTTGGAAAGTAAAAGAGTGACTGAGAAATACAGCAAAATTTCTGGAGAGCACTAACAGCCTATCTGAATTTAAAAAGCAGGCGGTACAGTTCTGTGTTTTTTTCTAGCTAAGTACAGCTACAACTTCCAGACATGGAATAAGCTGGCATTTTCTTCATGAAATTTTAAAAAGGCAACTTTTCTTACCCTAAAGCTCCACAAGCATATGGCCAAAATGCACTGAAGATACATTCTGAGGGAATTATATTTGGGGCCTTAGAAAGCTAAAAACTAACCATCAAATTCAAAGGGAAGAAAATACTATTGGATGAAACTACAGGAAACATCATTTCACAAACCTGTTCCATATCTTAATGGAATCAGCTGCTGCTGACAGGACAGCAATATTGTCGGAGCTGAATGACAAGGTCCGCACATCACTGCGATGACCCCCAATGGTGATTCTGCTTGTCCTGACAGCCTGGGGTGTAGATGCAGATAGATTCAGTGAATATAATTCCACCAGATTGTTTTGCAGCAGGAAGACAGCCTTTAAGTCTCCTTGAGGTGAATGAATCAAGTCAAAGGATCTGCATAGGAAAATATGCACATCAAATGTTCTAGCCACCATCTTGGCTGACAAGGTTAATTTCTAGGGAAAGACTGCTTTGCAATGTCCTCCATCTACATGAAGTCTGAGCAAGTATAAGGAATTTTACAAATGAAGGAGTGATCTGACTATTGTACTGTAGTCATATATAGGCTTTTAAGTCAAAGAAATGTGGGCTGAGGTCCTGGTTCTGACATATATCTGTTCTTATCTATGTATTTCTTGTAAGTGACCTTAAATTCTTTTTGAACTTGAACATACACGTTGGCAACAGGAAAAAAACAGTAAATGAATAACCAAAAGGGAATTACAATAAATATGAGGATGATGAGTAACTGGGCCTACAGTGAGGGCAGCAGGTACAAGAGTGTGACACAGGTGTCCCAGATCACTGTCTCCAAATATAAAATTGATACAGGCAGCTACAAGTATCCTGAAAAAGCCAATAAAACTTTGTAGTTTACTATCTCTATAATGACTTCAGACACTGTTTTTTATTTGTACTCACTTGATTTTGGCAGAAGTTTTGATGTTAGTCACCCGTTGGATTTCATCTTGCAGACCTGTTTCAACATTGATTTCAAGGTCTTTCTCCTCCCCTTTGCAAGAATTTAATCTAGAGGGGGGAAAATAGAGAGTGTCATGATTATCACTTTTCTAGAAGCAGTTATATTACTTGAGTTCAAGTTTTAGCTCTGAGACTAACAAGCTGTGTGATCCTAGGAAAGTAACTTAAGCACAAAGGATTACCAAAGAGAATTAACGCTGTGTCTGTAGAAACACCATGTAAACTACAGTGACATACAAAGCATTTTTGCATTTAATGAGTACTCTCAATAAACAGATCCTGAATTCAAAAACCATAAAATTTCCTGCAACAAGTCTTTGTAATTCCAATTACTTCATTAAACTGTTTCTGGTAAACTTCTCTAACTTCCAGACTTTTTAGAAAATTCAGTGAGCTGCATATAAAAATCCAACCATGTCACCAGATTATGAAATAAATCAGAGTAGGTCTCAAAAGATTTGCCAAGTCAGGTGATTTTTTTATTTCTTTGAAACTTGATAAATTTCAACAATTGAGAAATGGATTTCTATGGGAACAATGACTTATTTGAAGTTTATACTGTCCCGAACTTCAGTTTCATGTGTCCAACCAGTCTTTTTTCTCACAGTCCAAAAGGTTAGTGTTTTGCAACCCAGCTTAACTTCCTTCCTTCTAGGCAGCTACCACTGAAAACTACCACAGTCTGAGAGTTTTTTTTTTTTTTTTAAATCTATAGTTTTGCTAGCTCCATGTGGCTCTGACATTATGACTCAAAAATATGTTAGTTGTGAAAATGTAGTAAAGGGCAGAAATTCAAAATTTGCATCACCAGTGCATCACAAATCCTTCTGACTTTGAACGGTAACTGGTAATACAGTAAGTATTTCCTTAAAAAAGCCAGTTTTCCTACCAGTAAAATGTGACCCACCCACGATACTTCATTATTAAAAAAACGCACTTTGCTTTCTTTCTAGCTTTCTTCATCTTCTTATCCACTTTCTTCTGAATTTCTTCCTTGGAAAGAATACAAAATACTTCTAGCGCAGAATCAGTTCCCTAGAAAGGCAAAAGGCTGATGTGAATCCATGATAGGCAATTTTATTTTAGCTTATTCTCTGTAAGAACTAAACAAAAATGTTTTTTTTTTTCCCCTTACTAGCTGTATTACCTTGGACAACAATCTGAGTTTGTTTTCTCATCTGTAAAGTGAGGACTGCCACAGCCTACTACAGTGTTGCTCTGAACACTACATAGGAAGTTAAATGTTTTTAAATTGTTTAGAAAAGCAAGCATTCAATAAATGGTCACTAATAATGAGAACAATAATAATTATTATTATTACTGTTGTTGTTACGACAACAGAAGGTTGGGATTACAGGTCCACATAGCACCATGTAATGAATTAACAGGACAAAGAAAAAAATCATTGCTTCACTGCATATGAAAGCAAAATGAGTATCTGAAAGAACAGCCTAGTTCTTGCTATTTTCTAGTAAGCCTGCTTACTCACATGGCAGGCGAGAATTCTGCCTGTCTTGTCAACAGCAAGGTTCACAACTCTGTCCCTTCCTCCCCGCATTATGGAACCAGCTTTTCTGCACGAAACGATGCGCTACAGAAGAACCCAGAGAGGAGGAAGGTTAAATGTAAGTTCTACTGAACTCCTGAAAAGACATGCTGCCAAGAAATGGAAGTTACAAAGATAAACTATTCTCTAAAATGACACCAAGAAATTTAAGTTTAAAAATCTGCAACCTCCCTTTTCTTAGAATTCAATTCTATTGAAGATGAGAAATAAAAATGATTTACATCCTCAGGAGCTTCGTCCAGCTCGAGGGTACCATCCTTTGCCTCATGTGTGTCCTGCAGTCCCAGGGAAAGCCCTTTGATTTTCTTGGGCTCTGGTTCTTCCAAATCTTCAATCTGTTTGATAAAAATGGGGAAATAAAAAGCTGAAATAATGTGTTCTAGGAAGTGACTCTTAACCCTGATGACTTAGAAACCTTTCCTTAGAGAAACGAACAGTTTCCAATCAGTGGTCTCTCTAACCAAACCTATGGCAGGGCACATATAAGAATATACTAAAAACTGGCTACATATCGATCCAAACAGAACATTATTCATTATACTATCTCCAATGACTTTCCAGAAAATAAAAACTATTGTTTAGTAACAAAGTAAAAAAATGGCCCAATCTTCATTAACTTCAAAATCTTCTCTGCTCCTAAGTTAAAGGTCCACCATATTCCAGAGGAAAAGTTCAAACTGGCATTAAGAATTGCAAGAGAGGTAACACTTAGTCCTCAAAGAAAAGATAAACCTTAGTCTAGTAACATACAGCCCATCAAAATGGCTACTGGACACAACACTACACACCTAACTCCAACTAAATAGGAGGTAGGTCCTTAACCTTTTTTCCATACAAATTTCTTTAAGGATCTGAGAAAGCTATAGATCTTCTTTTCAGAATATATATATTTATAAACACACAAAATTCAACACAGATTTTTGAGGGGAAAGGTTAACAGATACTCTAAATCCATCCACGGACACCCAAAGGTCCAGGAATATCAGGCAAACATCCCCACAAACTGAAATATTAGGATGACTGGAAGCTAGAAGCCTAAAGCTACTCTTCTGAACTCAAAACAGTACAATGGAGTATATAAGGAAGAAAAAGTTTGTTTAGGATTTTCTGGTTATCAGTGTGACAGAATTCATTCTAGTGCTGTATGAAGTACTTGATGATTACATCTGATTCTAAATTCAATGAGCCTTTGAAACTGCTAATAACAGGACACTGCCTATGATCAGAAAGAAGGAATACCTCTTGCAGATAGGTGATGTCCCAAGCCCTCAGTTCACTGTCTGAGGCCCCTGTGATGAGTCTCTTTTCTTCTGACACCAGAACCAAACCCCACACCTAGAGCACAAAAGATAGATACCATCAGAAGAGATTCCAGGCTGTATGATGTGACATTCCAAAAGCCTGAGTTAAACTGTAGTAATATCCCCAAGGCATTTTCAAAGTCTTAAGAGAAGGCGTATGAAGACAATCCTTTAAAAATACACTAAGAGAAATCTCACTTTTAGAGAGAAAAATGGTAAAATTGTTTATGAGATACTAACGGTCTCTAATTTCTCATTTTTAAATTCAGATAATGGCTACTCAGCATAAATCCTAACTCCAGGATTCACTCAAATGAAGATCTTAAGAAGTATACACTTCTTTGCTTTCAGCAGTGCCTAGCAAATAAAAAGTGCCCAATAAATGTCTATTGCATAATTTTCAGCCTCAAATTTCTAAGAATTAAACAATGAAAATGAAAATACTGTTGCAAATCAACAAAGAATCTACTCTGCTTTTCCTCCTCATTAATTCCAGGTATGTTTTGAAAGCCTGATAGGAACTTAGGATGCCAAGATGTGTAAAATATTCCCTGAAATCCACTCAATAGGCCTATGTTCAGGTAACCATTAGTATCAACAGCTACAATTTGTTTATGTGTCACCAGGCCAAGCACTGTACACACAGTATCACTAAACTTCTTTACAATCACAAAGGTGGACATTTATCATTTAAACATGATGGAACTCAGACAGTAAAAGCTTATCCAAGGCCAATTTTTACTAAACGCTAGAGCAGTTTTGTCTGTTCCAATGGTTGGCACTTCTTCAACCATACACCAAACTCATTGTCTCTCAAGACAACATATGATTACTGTAAGCAGTTAAAACAAAGAACATACAGAAGGAAAGCATCTTCTCCCTTTGTGCTCATCCTTTCCCTGTACTCATGACCCTACATTTACCTCAGTTCGGTGGCCAACCATTGTTTTGAAGCAGTGCTGGGTATCAAGGTCCCACCATTTCACCAAGGTATCTTTCCCGCTAAGAAAAGAAATAAGGGACAAAATGTGACATTTAGAAAGAATCATTAAACTACCAGGAAGATCAAGGACTCATTTGTTGCTTTAAAAAGATAATATACAGCAGTAACGTCTAAACTTACTATTCTACCAGACTTTTCTGAAATGTAAAACTCTTAACTCTCTGTGTGGTGCATTTTTATTTAGAAAATAAAATATTTCACCTATAATCACAAAAATGACTTAGCATTCAGAGTACCAAAAAACAGAGAACTTGATTCACCACCCCTTCTTCCTACCATTTCCAGCCTCACAATTCCCTCAGGCTGCCTAATGTGGAAATATCTAAGACTTCTCCCGCTCCTTATCTCCATGTCCAGACAGATAGCCTCTATGTCCTGAAAATGATTCCTCTGCGAAGTTTTAAGCCTCGAATCCTTCCAACCCATTTTTGTACACAAACCTGAGTTTAAGGCCCCCTGTCCGAATTATTTAAAGAGTTTCTTACTTGGTCTCCTCGTCTATTCCTGTTCTTTTTTTTTTTTTTTTTAAATTTACACTGGCTCAAAGTTCTCCGTAAAGTCAAAACCTGGCTCGTCAGCACTACTTTCAAAACCTCCCATTAACTGGCCCTTCGTCTCCGAATACAATGGGCTCTTCTCCTCCTAGCTCAAATGCCTCTTTCCCACCTCTTCACTAACATAAATTTAATATAATCCTCCTTCATGACCAAAATGAGAGGAAAAAAAAAACCTGATTTACAGTCTTTCCCATAAATCCCACCTCACGATGCTGTTTCCTTTCCTTTAGGTTCCCTAAGCTGTAATGTGTAATCTTCTATTAGAATTGTAGAATCATTCTCTTTCAGAATCCATGTATTTGAATAAGACACACAAATGTACCTGCATCCTAGCCCACAGAAACAAATCCACCACTGGTACCAGCATTTAATGCTCCTTCACAACTTCTTTTAAGTCATTACTATCGTTCCTTCAATTAATGCCTGGCAAAGCTTATGATCCTAGCCTTTCCTGGGTAGCCAATTAATTGTCGTTGCTAATTGCCATTGATTTCGATTCATGGCAACCCCATATGTGCCGAGTGGAACTGCTCCATACAGGTTTCAAGGCTGTGACCTTTCGGAAGCAGATCGCCAGGCTATCTTCTGAGGCACCTCTGTGTGGGTTCAAACCACCAAGCTCTCAGCTATTAGTCAAGGGCTTATATTAGGTTTAGCCATATTAAACTGCTGGCATTTAACCACTTCTGACATACACAAATGGAAATTTCAAATGGTTCAACCTAATGGATGTTCAGAGAGCCCAAATATGGAGTACATCTCTTCTCAGAAAGTAGGCTAAATCAAATAAACGCTTGATATTCACATCTGCCCATACTCCACATTCTGTTCTCCTGACTCTGGGAATCTACAAGGTAGACACAAATCACTCTATAAAAGGTGTATCAAAAGGTTAAGGAGCGTAGGAAAGCTGGTACCAGGGAAAAGGAATGACAGAGCAGAAAAGAGAACAAAAATGCTACAAATAACCCTGGACAGCTCCTATGATACTGTATGGGGGGATAAGAAAAGAGAGAAAACTAGCACAGAAGTATAGTGTGGAGAAACGAGTAAGGAATGATGTAAATTCCCTCTACTAAAACATCTCCAATGAATTATCCTAGAAAAGAACTGGAAATGGAACCATTATTTCTTTACCTAGTAACTAGCAGATTCTTTTCTCGTAGAAACAATGCTTGTGTGATGGCATCCTTGTGCCCCTTCAGACGGTAGAGGCCACTCTCATTGATCACATCCCACACAATAATATCTGTGTCCTACAGGGATCAAATAATACAGAATAAAAATAATTTTTCTATCATATAAAGCCCATTCTGATTAATAATGGGATATAATATTTTTATTATAAGGCAAAACATAGTCCTTGTGGTAAATTTGGAAAGCCTATAGAAAAGCACAGAAAAAAATAAAAAGGATCCTTAATCTCACCATACAAGAATAATCATCACAGATATTGTTTTTTATTATTCCAATCTTCTTTATATACATTATCCATGTTGTTGTTTTCCTATTAGAAAACTATGATCATGTCATCCCCACTATTTTATAATCCTTTTTCCCATTTAATGCATTTCCATTCTCCATGTCACTCCAGTGCTCAATTTTAATGATCACAGTCAATCCTAAATATACACCATGTATGTATGTATGTAAATAATTTTCTATTTTAGACATTTAGATAGATTCCAATCTTCTATTATAAAATTGCTGTCAAGACAATGCCAACCCGTAGTGACCCCATATGTGTCAGAGTCGAACTGTGCCCCACAGTTTTCAGTGGCTGACTTTTTGGAAGTAGATCACCAGCCATTTCTTCTGGGTGGGCTTGAACTTCCAACCTTTTGGTTAGCAGCCAAGAGTGATAACCGTTTGTATCGCCCAGGGACTCCTGCTATTATAAATATGCTGAAATGAACATTCTTGTACGTAAATCTTTGTATGCACCTCTGATAAGAATATTAAAAAGAGAAAATTCTTGGATTAAAAGATTATGTCTAATGTTAATAAAGTTTCTGATTTATATCATCAAAATAATTTCCAAAAACAATGCACCGATCTACAGGTTCACCAGAGATATGTATGACAATGCCAGATTCCCCATCCCCTCAACACTGGGTATTATCAGTTTTATCAATAACTATTGCTACTTTCATGAGTAAAAAAATGAAGTTCCAATATTTATTTGAATTTGCACTTTTGATTCCAATGAGAAATTTTTTACGTTTATGTCTTGAGCTGCCAGTTCATGTCTTTTGTCTATCCTTCTCTAGGTGTCATCTTTTACTTCACTGTTTAAGTTATTAATAGATGAATGTTAGTCCTTCATATTTTGAAAACATTAAATACTATCCCTTTTCCATTATCCTTCAGCTTGTTTTTTTCAATGTACATGTTTTAAATTTTAAGTATTAAAAGCTACCAATCTTTTTCTTTATAATTTCTCTTTGCTAATACATTTGAAGTCCTTTTCCATGATATCAAATAATTATCTTCTACTATATTTAAAATGTCACTTTTTAATATTTAAGTTTTTATAACTCATTTTTGTATATGGTATAAGGTAAAGTTCTAACTTAAAATGTTCCCCCACATAGTTAGCCGAGTGTCTAACTGCCATTTTATTTTGTTTTTGGTGAAAGTTAAACAGGAAATTAGGTCCTCATTTAACAATTTCCATACATACTGTTTAGGAGCCCTGGTGGTGCAGTGGTTAAGAACTCAGCTGCTAACAAAAAGTCAGCAGTTTGAATCCAACAACCGCTCCTTGGAATCCCTATAGGGCAGTTCTACTCAGTCCTATAGAGTTGCTGTATGAGTTGGAATCAACTCAACAGCAACGGGTTTGGTTTGGTTTTTATACTCATTGTTCAGTGACACTGGTTACATTCTTCACAATTTATCAGCATTCTCGTAAATTTCATTTGTTGTTCTATTTCCATTAATCTAGCCTCCTTGTCCCCTCTAGCCTTCTCGTTTTTGGTCTAGGGTAAATGTTAGCCATTTGGTTTCATCTAGATGATTATTTTGGGGAGCACAGTACTCATGGATATTATTCATTTTATAGGCCAATCTGTCATTTGGCTGAAAGGTGATCTCTGGGGGTGGTTTGAGTTGCAAGTTTAAAGAGTATATTAGCGCGATAGTCTTGGGTTCATTTAGACTCTACCGGTCCAGTAAGTCTGGCCTTTTTTTGAGGAATTTTTGAGTTTTGTTCTATACTTCTCTCCCATTCTATTTGGGACCATCTACTGGGTCCCTAGTCAGAACAGTCAGTAGTGGTAGCTGGGCACCATTTAGTTTTTCTGGTCTCCAGGTAGGTGATGTCATTGCTCATGTAGACTATTGGCTCTGTAGACTATTCTTTGAGTCACTGGTTTCCTTCTCTTCAGCTCCAGATGAGTAGAGACCAATAGTTGTATCTTAGATGGCCTCCTGCAAGCTTTTAAGACCCCAGAGACTACTCACCAAGCTAGGATGTAAAACATTGTCTAAGTGCCATTTTATAAATACTGCATCATTCTTCTATTCATCAAAAATATCTTTCTAAAACATGCTAATTAGGAATATTAAAGTAGATTCGTTTCTGGGATTCTACTTGTTTGCGATAATCTATTTTGAATTGGTACCACATCAATACAACACTTTTTAAATTACAACTTCATAATGCACTCTAATCTCTGAAATCCTCTTTTATTATTATTCTTTTCCAAAATTTTGGTTTTCGTGATACATTTCTTTTTCCATGTTTCTAATCACTTGGTCAAGTTCTAAAAAATAAAAAAATCACTGGAATGTTCATTTAAATTGTTCCAACTATGTAAATTAATTAGAAAATACTAGCATCTTTTTAATACTTTGTCTTTCCATTCAAGAATATAGTTTGTGTCTCTGTTCAAGTTTTCTATTACATTCTTCAGGAAATATTCATGGTATTTTCATGTCTGTTACTTAAGATTCTATCATGAATGGAATCTTTTAAACTGAAAACTTTTCAGATATAGGAAAGCTATTGATTTTACCAAAATCAGTGGAAAATATCATTTTATCTCTTCTAGTCTTTTTCTTTTCCTTTGTCTGAGTAGCACTTCCAACATGTTACATAATAATTCTCAAGGGTGTCCTCCTGTTCCTATATTTTAATAACCTTTTCAGAGACTGACAGGAAACAAAATGTACTTCCCAATTCATACCCATCCTCTTCATTCTGTTCCAGCATCTATACTAGTTTGGCCATTGAGAGCCCACTGTTTCACCCAACAATTTTTTGTGAACAACCAGCATCAGCATAAGCCTTATGCTGTTTTAATATATCAAAGTTTGGTCACCTGATTCCAGGTCTCACCTTGGACCCAGATGCCAGCCTGCCTCCTAGCTGATCATACTTTAAGGTAGTGATAGCTGCTTTGTGTCCATTGAAGGTCACGTTTCCTTCCCCACTCAGGAGACTGAAGATTCGGATAGACCCATCCTCATAACCAACTGCTAAGTGCAGCCCATCTGGGGAGGGGCATAAGCAAGTGACTTCTTGTTTAATCCCCTGAAGGATGAGGATCTGAAATGGTAAGAAGCAAAGGAGAAGTTAAACATGTCATCAAAGGAAAAGTGTGAGCACAGTAAAATGAGAGCATTAATAATTCCAGATGACTCTGAGAAATAATAATGAAATTCCACAATCCATCTAAAGTTCTTTAATATAAGAAATATTTGTACTGGCCACTGAAACACTCAACACAAGGTCTACAATGGCCTAATCCTCATAAAAATTTCCCAGGCATATGGTAACACCAAATAATTTTCAATAAAGTGTTATAAAACCATCCTTGCTTTAACTGAGTCCTATTTTATGAGAAACCAACTTGTTTGGCATCAGAGTGCTATAGTGGTTTTATCACCAAAGGACTTTGGGAGGCAGCAAGTATCCAAGTATTAATCTCTTGGAAATCACGAGGAGTGGACAAGATCAAAATGCCTTACTTGGTTTGGCGGAAGTGGTGGGTTTAGGGAATTCAGAGTCATACAAAGCATCAAAGCTTAGTAGATTTAGATTTGTTTGCCTCATCTGTATAAGCCAAAAAGATTTACTTAACAAAGCAGAGTAATATTCTTTTTAAATGACTGTAAGATATCATCAAGTCAACTCTGACTCACAGCAACCTTACAGGACAGGGTAGAACTGCCCCATAGGGTTTCTTAGGCTGTAATCTTTATGGGAGCAGATTGTCAGGTCTTTTCTCCCAAGGAGCCGCTGGTGCATTCAAACTGTCAACCTTTCACTCAGCAGGTGGGCACTTAACCATTGTGCCACCAGGGCTCCTATTATAACTAGCCATCAGGCATGTAGAACTTGAAAAATAGGGAGAACCGATAAAGAAGAGGGGGGAAAAAGTGTCAGGAATAAAATAATGATTTTTAATCATTAATAAAATAAATGATTACCTTCTTGATATCTAAGAGGTAACCTCCTATTTGGTTGTGGTTTTCAGAATTTAGTATAGAAAAACACAACAGAACCTGATGATTGAATATTTAGACCCAAAGGAAAAAGATTTCTCTTCCAGCGGCATACAAAAAAACATGTGCATGAGAAATCACAGCTCTCCCACTTCTGCCCTTCCATGCTCAAATACCCATAAATCAATAACAACCTAGTAGATTTCTGGCTCACCTTTTCTCCTTTCCTTAAGTCCCAGATGAAAACATGTTCACAAGCTGGTACAGCCACATAGCGTCCTTTCTCACCACGAAGCGTCACAAAAACAACATTACCTTTTTGGCTACCAATCAGGCCAAAGACTGCACTGGCAACATAGCGTAGGTATTGCTTGGTAAGCCCCATGTTATGATGTCTGATACCACAGGTGAGGCAATCTGTGCATGCAAACAAAGAAAACTCAATTCTTTGGGTACCTTAGTTCTATTAGGCCAGAGAACACCAACTGTTTATCATGTGGTTAAAATTGTATTAACTCATCGCTTCTCAACCTTCACTCACTGTGAATAAATCACTGGCAGAAAACACATAGGCATCTTCATTTTTCCACGCATTACTGACTCAACATGTAATCTCTCATTCGCCAAGCTTCAAATTGGTTACACCGTCATGCCTACCTCACCAATATCTGATATTACTGCCTCAATGCAACTGAACAACTCACTCCTGCCTACTCAATCATCATCATAGTTTTTACACTGAGATTGGCAGCCCGTGACTGAAAATATTTACCAGTTAGTATTTATTATAAACCTACCAATATCACAAGCACTAAAAATATGGTATTTAGACAAAACCCCAAATCTCATGGAGCTTACTAGTATAGTGATTCTCAACCCCTAATGTGTGTCCAAATCACTTGGAGGGCTTATGAAAACACAGACTGCTGCCTCTCCCTACCGCATTTCTGACCTGGTAAGTCTGGGGTAGGGCTCAAGATTTTCCATTCTAACAAGTTCCCAAGTGTGGTGTCCAGACTACACTTTAAGAACCACTGTTCTAATACACGCAGGTCTGTCCCTGATTTCAAAATCAGAGCAGTCACCTCTCCTTGGCACAGAAAAATGGTAGGGCAATTCAGCACACTATTTTTGAAAGATGTCATAGTTCCCGCACTACTTCAAAGTGACTGAAAACACTGGCTATGGATAAAAGGGACAACAAGGTCGAGATCAGTCAAGCCTGTCTGCTCTTGACATGGAAGAATGAAAAGTATCCCCTCAAAACCCACGCAAGTTAAAAAAAGCACTATAGTATATTAAACTGAAGTTAATGGTTGTTTCTTGCTATCTTTGTTTGGTTGATATAACTCTACAGGGTCTCTTTCTACATAACCTTAAGTTTTAATCTAACAGAAAAAAAAATTCTCTCTGCTAATATTTTAACAATTACTTACTGACCTTATTTTTCTTTTCACAGAAACAAACGTAAAGCCAGTTAAAAATCAAGAAAAGAAAACATTAACATGGTGATAATCTTCCTAGGCTAAGCTGGTCAATTCTGCCCCAATTCCTCTTACTCTTCTAGTTCCTTAACGCAGTTGTTCTTCACATTAGCCTTTCGCCATTCACCGTCTCTTTTGCAGTATTTTACAAGGCACTGTCATTTTTGCTTCACGTGTGCTGATCTTGACGCCTTTTAGAGAGCCCACGCCATCCGGGCTTCCTAACCCCCGCCCCTCCCCCCCAAAAAAAATCCCAATCTGTTGCCGCGGATTTCGACTGAAAGCGACCCTATAGGAGTAGAGCAGAACTGCCCCATGGGGTCTCCAAGGCTGTAAACTTTACGAAAACAGACTACCACATCTTTCTCCCGTAGAGCGGTTGGTGGGTCAGCAGCCGAGCGCTTAAACACTGCGCCACCAAGGCTTCCGCTCCTAACCCACAATCCCCCAAAACACATTGCTTCCGTGCGCTGAAGGGCTGGGCCGTTTTAACAGACCTGTCAGACCTTCCCTAAACCGAGTCTTCAGTTAGGAAAGAATGAGAGAAGTTCCGCACACCAAGCACACCTCTGGAGCATCCTCAAGAAAGGCCGTGTACAGACAAGAAGCCGCAGCGCAAGCTCGGGCAGCTCTATCTGGCACGCGCCAGTCCCAGGATAGTCCACCGAGTGGCCTCTGGGTACTACGATGGGGACGTCCACAGTAGCCTGGGATTTCTCCTTCTAGCGACCAGCCCTAAATATCCCAGCCTTAACTGTTGCTCTCACCACGAAGACCTCAACAAGGACCAGCCAAACCCGATCGGCGTAACAATTACGCTCAGGCGCAGCAAAACCCCCGTACTCACCTAGGCCTCCACGAGGCTCCCAAATGGCCCTGCCCACGGGACCCGCCCCTTCCGGGTCCGTTTTCAAGACCCGCTTCCGCCCGGCGTTGCCTTTTCTTTCTAGAAGGAAATGACGGAAAAAGCCGGGTTCTGACTAGTTAGCGCTGGTGGAGAGCGGAAGCCGGTTTTTCGCAGGCCAGAGCTTTTGCTGCTGGTTATTCCATCTTCCCTCTACTTTCTTGTCCGGGGATGCCGCTCGGTCGCCTTCTACAGGGAGCTTAACCTGCTCCGCCTGCCGCCCGAATGGGAACGCAAGAGTGCTGTGAGAGATGGGACCGTGGCTAAGAGGGAAGGGGCCGAGCGGGCCGGGGGTGCGGCGGGAGGCGTACGGGACACGGCCCGGACACAGGTGGGGGGCAAACAGGCTTAGTTCTGGCTATTCTCTGGGAGAATGAGCCTAGCACTTCTCCTCTGGCTGTTGTCTGGTTCCCTCTCTCCCGAAGTGCTGTGGGGAACGACGTGTCGACGAGAAGAGGGTGTGCAGACCTGGGCACAAGGGGCAATGGTGCGGTAGCCGAGGAGGCGCGCGCCCTCGGGTGCAGGTGCAATACGACGGCCTGGGGCCCTGCCAGTTGTAGCGAGCAAGTTTATCAAGGTAGAGTCCATGCTGCACCCCCCCCCCCCGTGGACTGGGCGCCCCACGAACCGAGAGCAGCTCGGATCAGGGCTGGGTAGGCGCTGAGCCCGGGCTGCTGAGTTGTCTGTGTCGCCGCAGTCCCTGGAGTGACATTGGCCTGGCTTTGTGTTTCCACTCCCTGGCCACTTGAGGGGGATGTGACCAAGGCTGCTTTCTCCTTGGCTGGTGACTAAGGCTCAGGTGCTCTACCACCAGGAGGGAATTAGTTTTTTTCCCTTGCAGTTCTGCCCGCTTTTATTCTTGGACTGCATAAAAGTGTTTAGAAATGAGTTCTGTTGTCTATGGTTGTGGGAAGTTACAACTATACGAAAGAAATAAGTCCCTGCCTTCGCTTATGGAACAAGACTATCAGCCAGCCTAGAAATTAGCCTTAAAGAACATGTCTTTACATTTGTTGATTTTCTTCCGATGTTTTTTGAGTTGACATGTTCAGCTAGTATTCCAAATTCAAGAGAATTGTAATAGAGAATGGATATGATGAGACCGTGGATAGCTGTAGTGGTATAGGTGTTTTGAAACAAGATCACGGTGAGTTGGATGAATGAAAGAGGAGGAAATTGTGAGGTAGCAGACTATTCTTTCAAGGTGTTTTGCGGGGAAGGGAGCATTTGGACGTGTATGGTTAATATCTCTTCTTGGTGATGTGGATTGTATTATTGTAGGGAAAAAAAATGTGTGCTTTACTGGAAAACTTAGTAGTCTAGATTCTATCTAGATGACACCTCTCATTCTATGAAAGCAACTTTACAACTGTGGATAACTGATAGATTGCTAAATCATTCTTGTCTATAGACATGCAAATTCCATCCTGTCACACAGAAGTTCAATCACAGATTCAATTGACTTTTCTTTACACCTGTAGAAACCCAGTTTTGTCTCCTTTTGCACATTTGATCTCAATATTCCTCATCTGTTAGTGTGTCTGTTTCTGAGGTTCTCTTTATCGTGTCAGAGCATAATCCCTTTCTGAGTTAAATTAAATTTTTAATGTGCTTATTTTTATATTTGTACGAAACATGATTTTACCTTCTTAAAAAAAATTTTCTTTTAATGTTATTAAACATGAGAAGTGACAAACTGCAGATGGAAGAAAGAATTTTGAGAATTGGAATCAGAGCAACAATGATTGAGTGTTAAGGCTCTGCACTTTGTAACAGTCCACATGCAGTATTTCAAGGTATAACCCTAGTTTCTTAGTTAAGTTTTAAATTGCTCCACATATTAATACTTATAATTGAAGCATAGTACAGTTCTCTTGGAGTCTTTGGATGGTACAAATGGGGAAAGGTAGGAGATTCAACTCTACCCAGAGGTGAAGAAAGGCCTGACAGTCTACTTCTGAAACAAATTAGCCATTGAAAACCTTATGGAACGCAGTTCTACTCTCACACACATGAGTTTGCCATGAGCTGTAATTGGCTCAATGGCAACTAGTCTTTTTAGTTTTTTTTTTTTTAATGTGAAAGTGGCACTATAAACCCACCATTAGAGCATATGCGTTGTATGTTTTTTTTTTTGTTTTTTTTTTGTTTTTTAATATTTTATTGTACTTCAGGTGAAGGCTTACAGAACAGATAGTTTCTCATGTAACAGTAACACACATGCTGTTTTATGACATTGGTTAACAAC